GGCGAGAGGCGGCGGCCTCCGTATCGCTGGTTTGTGCTCGGCCCGGCTCGCTCCGGCTCGTACGTCCACATCGACCCGCTCGGCACGTCGGCGTGGAACGCTCTGCTGCAGGGCCGCAAGCTTTGGGTCCTCTCCTGCCGCTCCACCGCGCCGCTCCGGACCCGCTTCCTGTCTCGTGAGCCGGCGGCTTTCTTTTCCAGGCGCTCCTCCCGCCCCACGTGCCGAAGGAGGTCGTCCAGCCGACGCCGAAGCTGCACGGAGGCGGGGAGGCGGTCGCGTGTGCGGGCGAGGGGTTGGGAGTTGACGAGGGAGTGGCCGTCGGAGACTGAACATTAGGCAGGGAGGCGGTTGCGTGGTGGGCGAATGTCTACCCGAAGCTCGCCGCCGCGACCGACCCAGACCACCGCCCACTCACCCTCGTGCAGACCGCGGGCGAGAGAGGTAGCCGAGAGGCAGCCGAGAGGCAGCCGAGAGGGACCGGGGCCCCTCACTTTCGCGCACCACTGTGTGCGGGCGGTGGTACACACGGGACTGGAAGGAGCCCCTCCCCCCCCGAGGAGCCCTCGGCGTGCGTGCCGGGGGGGGGGGAGAGACGGAGAGACGGGGAGAGAGACGGGGAGAGAGACGGGGAGAGACGGGGAGAGATTGAGAGAGACGGGGAGAGACGGGGAGAGACGTGCCTGCAGAGACGGTGTACGTGCCGGGTCCTCTCGGGTCCTCTCGGGTCCTCTCGGGTACTCTAGGGTACTCTCGGGTACTCTCGGGTACTCTCGGGTACTCTCGGGTACTCTCCTGCAGGCGAGACGGTGTATGTGCCGGGCGGCTGGTGGCACTGCGTGCTCAACCTCGACGTGACGCCGCCGCAACTCACGCAGAGCCTGGTCCCTCGCGAGCGAGCGAAGCACCCGCCGCCAATGATCGACAGGTGACCGTCGCCGTCACGCAGAACTTGTGCCCTCGCTCCTCCTTCGACTCTGTCTGGCGGCGCGTCGTCAAGTCGCGACCGAAGATGTCCAAGCGCCTCGCGGAGAGGCGCGCCGTGGAGGAGCCGTATCCTCGGGTCCTCTCGGGTCCCCTCGGGTCCCCTCGGGTCACCTCTGGTCACCTCGGGTCCTCTCGGGTCCTCTCCTGCAGGCTCGCCGTGGACGAGCCGCTCCTCCACCAGCGCACAGTCGAGCTCGCCAAGCTGCCGCCCGAGGAGAAGGGCGGCGACTCCTCCTCCTCCTCCTCCTCCTCCTCCTCCTCGTCGTCGGACTCCGACTCAGACTCGGGGCGGAGGAGCCGCCCTCGCAGAGACCGGCGATCACGCTCGCGCTCACGGCAGGACCGCCGCCGCGCGCCGGCGAGCCACCGCCGCAGCCGCTCGCCTGTCGGGGGCTGTAGATGCGGGGATCGGGCCAGCGCTCGAGAGGTCACGTGCTCGGCTGTATCGCACTGTCTCCGCAGCTCCGGTAACGCACGCGAGGCTCGCTGAGTGCACGGCCAGACACTCGCATTCACACCACTCGCATTCACACCACTCGCATTCACACCACTCGTATTCACACCACTCGTATTCACACCCCGAGTCTGTCCTGCTCACAACGCAGGCCGGCCGCCGCAGCCGCTCGCCGTCGCGGCCTCCACGCCGCCGCCAGGACGACGACGACGAGGCGGCAGGTAGAGAGACGGAGAGATGGGTCCGCAGAGGCGGGTCGACGGGCGGTAGTGGGGGGGGGTGGATGCGGCGAGGAGCCGAGTCGAGCGACCGAGGCTTGCCGGTTGGTGTGAGAGGGCGGGAGGGGGCATCGGCCGCGGGCGCGCTGTTGGTGGACTGGCGTGAGATGTAGCTGAGATTCGCCGAGATCTACCCGAGATCTACCCGAGATCTACCCGAGATCTACCCGAGATCTACCCGTGCTTTAGGCGGACTGGCGCGAGAAGCGCCGCCGCCGGCTCGACGCCGCTGCGGACGCGGGCAAGGGCGCGTCGGGCAGCCGAGCCGCGTGCTGAGAGGGGTGTCCTTCCACCTTTTTCGGCGCGTCGCAGCCGGGGCGCGGGGGGGGGGGGGGGGGGGGGGCTCCTCGAGCAGGCCCTTCATGGTGGCGATCTGGAAGTTTTGCACGTTGATGATGTCCATCAGCAGACCCTTGAGCGTCTTTTCGCCGTCAAACTGGTTTGGGTGTGGGGGGAGACACGGGTCAGTGGGGGGGGGGGGGTTCCAGGGGGGCGATGGGGATGTCGCCTCCGTGTCGACGGTTCCAGGGTCCATCTTGAGCAGGGTCTTGGCCATCGCGACGGCGTTGGCGTGGTGCGGGATCATCTGGCGGAGGAAGGTGGCCGCCATCGTCGCGCCCTCCGCAGAGACGGCCATCTCCTGGTGCATCTGGCAGTCGATCGCCTCGAGGCACTCGTTGAAGTCGTTCTCCGGCGCCTCGCTGTTCGGCTCGTTGCTGCAGAGGAACTTCTTGCCCTTGCAGTGCGGGTACTGCGTTGCCCCTGGGGCGTAGGGACCTAAAGGACGGGTCGAGGACGGATCCAGGCCGCCTCCCCAGGGGAGAGGCGCGATCTCCCTCGTGTGCTCGCCTGTGTTCCACGTGCCGCACTTCTCGTCGAAGTCGGACGGGTCGGGGGCCGTCGGCTCGGGGCAGCCGGGGATTGAGCCATCCGCGCAGTACGGGACGATGGCCCCGTCCGGGTTCGGCAGATTCTCGAGCACGATCTTTGCCGACATGCCCGGGTGGATGTGGCAGAAGTAGTAGACGTACTTGCGGAGCTTCCCCTCCGGGAACTGCGAGGGGTCCGAGACCTACACGACACGACACGACACGAACACCGATCATACATGCCTTCTCGTATTGAGCTCTCGGGAGTGGGCTCTCTGAGTCACAGCAAACTCGACGTGGCAGGGTGCGTCGGCGCCGCCGCAGCCCTCATACCAGTCGCCGAAAGGGTAGAAGAAGAAGGGCTCGTATGCGTCGAGGCCGAAGCCACTCTCGTCTTTCGTTTCCGCGACGGTCTTGGTGATGTACTGGATGGTGGACATCGTCCCGTCCACCCCCTCGCCGCCGAGCTCGGGGCACTCTCCCTCGACGGCAATGTTGGGGCAGTCCGGTGCGTCAGCGGGGCACGCGCAGGTGTTGTGCGCCCCTCCCACCTCGTATGCGAACCCGACAGGGTGGTACCTGCGAAGAGGAGAGGCGGGCGGGGGTGGACGCTTGAGCCGCTCGCGTGCCCCGAGGGCGACAGAGCTCTGCGAGAAGCCCACCAGTTCGACTCGTCGCTCTGCACGAAGTAGTATTTCTGTCCGTAGTTCAGGTGAACCTCGGGCGAGACGCCGTGGCACTCCTTGGTGATGTTTTTTGCGTCGGTCGACGTGGAGCCCGCGACCTGAGGCGACGAGGTGGCGAAGTGTGGCGGTGGAGAAGGTTGGCAGCTCGGCTTTGGGCGCTGCCTTGTACAGGCCCACGTCGCCGGCGAATGGATCCCACGAGAGGTGGATGTAGGGGAAGTCCGTGAGGTTGCACGGTTCGCCGAATGGGTGTCCGTGGCTGAACGGGGCGAGCGAGAGGAGGGAGAACATTCTGGAGATCGAGCCGCTGAACGCCGGGTAAGGCACCCAAGGGGCACTCGTCCAATCAAAGTCGGCGGTTGCTTTGCCATTTTTTGGCACCCGTACCGCGCTTAGCCGTCCCGGTAGAAGCCGGTGCCAATGCCGCTGCCGTGGACGTCAGCGCAGCAGCAACTGAGCTCTGTCCCGAGCACGTTTCTTGCAGGCTCGCGCGCCGCGCAGGGCTCTTCCGCGAGAGTCGGCGACGGCGCGCAGAGCAGGGGTGGTTGCGGCACTTATAATGGGGCGGTGGGGCTCCCGTGGAGTCCAGCGGTTTCCGGTTACACCCGATCGTGTTTGTTTTTGATTTTGTGGAACATGAACAGTTTTTTTCTACCTCCGAGATCACGTGGGGCCTACCGTAGGCTGCCCGCCACATGATATCTAGCCATGTCTTGCCGCCCCGCAGACCAGAGACGCAGAGCCCAGTGCCCGGAGAGAGACCCGGCCAGACAGGCCGAGAGTCCACGGCGCGACCAGAGCGTGGGAGCCGAGAACGCGAGAGTACGCGCGGCCACCGCCGCGGCCAACTAGTGGAGAGCGAATGCACGCCCCCGGCCAAAGGGTAGGAGAGAGAAGAGAGTACGGGCGGCGGTGTCCGCAGCATGCGGATGTCACGGCGACGAAGGCGAGATCTCGGAGGAGCGCCCGCATCGACCGCGGCGGCACCGGCGGGGCGGCGGATTGGTCTTGGGTTATCCGGGGTGAGACTGCTAGGCGTCCTCTTTCGCCACGAGCAGCCTGGCCTGCCAATCATCCAGGATAGTCGCATTGGTCATTCCGTCTCGCGGCACATCCAAGTCCACAAAAGCTGGTGACGTCCACGCGTCGAGCGCTGCGTCATCCTTGGCTACCCCCACAATGACATCATGGACTTGCCCGACGGTCATCATGCCTTCGTGAGGCACACCTGGCAGTTTGTAGACCTTGACCGTGCTCTTCCAACGCTCGCACACGGACAAGCTGTCAGAATGGACCGTCCCGTCGCCATCTCCGATTTCGACCGAAGCTCCGATCTCTGCGAAGGCCCCGGGGAAAGTGAGGTGGGAAAAGGTGCGCACGTTATGACTGTAAATGCAGTGCGTCGGGACACCAGGATCTTCGATCGTCCCGACAGACAAGGCATATTTCATGTGCTCCGCCTCGTCGTGCATGAGCAGCCTCCTGAACAGAGATGGCAGGCCGGAAGCCTTGATCTCTTCTGGCTGCGCCCATGGCCCTTGGAGCGTGACGTAGCTTCTGTCGGGTATGGAGTCGTCCACGCCCGGCGACATCCAGTACGAGGATGGAAACTCTCGGGCCAGCCGCGTGAAATCCGTGAGGAGCCAATCCATGAGGAGCTCCTTCAGTACAGCCCCAAACCCGTCCACGGCTTTTATCACAAAGTGTTCCTCGCTCACCTGCTCGGCCATCACGTGAACTTGGCAGCGCCTGGCTGGCCCGGGGGCGTGTAGGCAAAGGCCATTCCGCCGACGAGTGCTGATAGCGCATTAACTGCGCCATTGAAGGGGCCTCCGACCGGCACGAAGGCGTGCACGTTCTTTTGCACCCAACTCTTGCCCCCGCGCTTTGCGTTTGCCCATCTCAGGAACGCGTGCGTGAACGGAGCCGCCATCGATAGGCCAGTCAGCACAACCGGCTGACCATTCTTCGACACCGCGTCTGAGATTGTCCTGAAGAAGCGAGGGAAGGCTTCTTGCTCCCAGTCGGCAACGCTCAACCGCCAGTCATAGCCCATCGGGAGGATATCGACGTCTCTGACAAACCCTTCGGATTCCAGCCGTTGGGTTAGGTTGCCGTACACCTCATATCCGAAAACCGTCAAGCCAGCCCAACCCTCGGCAACCCTCACCTGCACATGCTCCGGAGACTTGGTCCGGTTCGTCGTCGGGTCAAAGGTGAGTCCCAGCTGCGCGTGGGAACTGTGAAACGCACAAACTGCGGCAAACTTGTCCAAGTTCACCCACGCCGTTGTCCACGTTGGCGTCCACGGGCTGCACGGATGGAGCCATCGCGCATCATTGACTTGCAGCGTCTGTCCTATTAGTGGCCCCACGACCACCACCGGGTGGCGAACGCTGCTCCTCTCGGCGACGAGGAGCGAGGAGGGCGATGTTGCGCCGATCGCGAGGAAGGCGATCACGCCGAGCACGAACAGTTAGACCGTCGACGGGAGTCGGCGGGACAGCGGTGGGTCCAGCATCGAGCTCTCGGTTGGAGAAGCCCGAGATCCGAGATCTTGTGCCCCCCGGGGGGGCGAGTCGCTTGCAACGCACCTGGGTCTAAGGGCGTCACGGCCTTATTGGGTCCTTGGCCGCGTCCCTTTTCTTTTTTTGCCTAGAAAAAATCATCAAGCATATGCAGAGAAATGGACGTCGTGCGAGATCCCGACAGCGGGGAAAACTCGTTTTGGAAGTTTTGGAAGTTAATTCATTTTACTTATGGAAGTTTACGGTGATTGTTTTCAGCCCTGTTCTTGCTTCTTCGCCTCGGGGGCACAGGATGCGGCACAAACGTGGCAGCTTAAATTCTTTAAGCGCGGCTGGCGGCCGGGGCACACGTGTGTGTGTTGTGCAACCGCTCTCACAACACGCGGCATGCCACGCGCGATCGACCTCGCGCAGGGCGACTGGTACCTCAGCAGGCCAGCCGACCGCTACACGCCGGCGCTCACGCCCGACTTCCTGCGCAGCCCGCCCGCCAACGTTCGCGGCAAGCCGGACCTCGAGACGGCGCAGGGCCTGCGGGCGCTCTCTCTATTCCAGGCACGGTCTCTGCACGGCGCCGACATCGACAAGATCATCAAGAACAAGCTGGATGGCGTGCTTGGCACACGCTGGCTCATGAAGGAGCAAGAGTGCTGGTACCGCCCGCCGCGGCCGGCCGAGGCGGGAGCCAGCAGCGCCGGCAACAGCAGCGGCGGCGGCGGCAGCGGTAGCAGCGGCGGCAGCAGTGGCGGCGGCAGCAGTGGCGGCGGCGGCGAGGCGGCGGCGGCGCTGGACGTGGCGATCCTGATGGTTGACTCGCGGCCACCGTTTGCGTACGAGGTTGGCGGGACGACGCTTCGCTCTCCGGAAGAGTGGGGCCTCCCGCGCAGCGTGCTAACCGAGAGGTGGCGTCCCACCGCTGCACACGGCGGCGGGCCGGCCCCGAACGGCAACGCCGGTGTCGAGGGCAAAGGGGACGCCCGAGGAGGTGCCGGAGCCTTCCACGAGCCTTCTCGGAACCTTCCTTCCAGGTGTCGAGGGCAAGGGGACGCCCGAGGAGGTGCTGCAGTCGCGGACGGAGAAGATGGGCACTTTCCAGCTCGCGCTCGTCACGAACCACATCTACGCGCAGCTGCACGGCTACCGCTTCTACCTCGAGAACCCGTGCCCGCACCTGCACATCGGCGTGACCGAGGCGGGCCGGGGACGCCGCCCTCGAGCCGCGACACGTCCCACGACACGTCCACGACACGGCCCACGACACGGCCCACGACACGGCCCACGACACGGCCCACGACACGGCCCACGACACGGCCCACGACACGGCCCACGACACGGCCCACGACACGTCCACAGGCGGACTGGAACGACGCCCTCGAGCCGAGCCAGCGATCCGAGCCGAAGTGGGCGTGGAGGGAGGGGATGCAGCAGTACACCAACCGCGACCCCGTCTGCCCAGGCGAGACGGGGCCGAGACTGGGGCCGAGACTGGGCCGAGACTGGGCCGAGACTGGGCAGGTGGCATCGCACACACCAGAGAAGGGTTGCGAGTAGGGCTGCCCGCCGACCACCGCCTCGGCCCCTTCCCTCCCCGCGGTCCGCCGTGGGCTAAGCTCGCCGCGATCCGCTACCTGCTCCGCCGGCACGCCCACCTGGCGTACATCGACTCGGACGTCTTTGTCACCGAGGTGTGGCAGCCGCTGCCGCCTCTGCTCGAGGCGAGTGATCGTAGCGTGGTACAGACAGCACAGGGCGGTGAGCGGCGGAGTTCAGTGGAGTATAGCACAGGTGTGGCAGCCGAGGCACCGGCTCTGGCTATCGCACTCCCGTCGCTTGCCGTTGCACCCTGATCTACGGCTTCCTCCCTCTGCCCGAGGCGACCGGCCTGCTTCGCGGCGAGCGGTGGATCGCTGCGGCGGAGGCGTCCCCGCCGCAGGAGCTGCGTATGACGATGCTGTCGCCCCACTCTTGTCATCCTGCCCTTCTCCTCTCAGGAGTTCCCACCGCAGAAGCTGCGCCGCGATACAAGGGCCGGCACGCGCAAGCCCGGCCGTCCTCCCGCCACCAGTCGTCCTCTTCTTGACCCGGGGCTTCCTCTCTTCCTCTCGCAGGCCTCGCAAACTCTGGCGTGCTCCTGCTCGCGGGCGCCCCGATCGCCGGCGCGGGCATCCTGCGAGCGATCGAGGAGTGGATCTGGCCGGGCGGCAGCCGTTAATTACTCATTGAGAATTCATCATTGACAATTACGAGTGAAGGAATGGATCTGGCCGGTCGGCAACCCGACCTGGTCCTTCAAGTGGCCGTTCGAGCAGAACGCGCTCACCACCGTCGTCTTCCGCCGCTACCCGCGCCGCTACACCCTCCTCAAGCCGGGCTGCCCGCTCAACTCGCCCTTCGGCGCCCTCCTCCGCCATCTCGTCGGAGGAGCGCCGCACCAGCGCCGTGCGGACCCCCCCACTTCGCACCGAGGAGCCTTCTCGGCACCTCCTCGGAGCCTTCCCCCCGCAGGGACGCCGCACCGCGCCGTGTACCACCCCGACCACCGCACCGCGTGGCTCGCCGAGGCGCTGCTGTCGCCCGCCCCGTCCTCTGCGCAGACGGGGGGGCCGTCTCGGACCCTTCTTGCACAGCCTTCCCGCAGGCGCTCCGCTGTACCATCCGGGCGCTCAACCGCTCCGCCGACAGCCACGCACCGCTCGAGCGATGCACGCCCAACGAGGAGCGAGCACACACACAAACACACACACACACATACACACACACACACACACACACACACACACACACACACACACACACACACACACACACACACGCACACACAAACACACACACACACACACACATACACACACACACACACGCACGCACGCACGCACGCACGCACGCACGCACGCGCGCACGCACGCACGCACGCGCACACACACACACCTCACCCGCGCGCACTGGGCCTTGCGTGTGTGGAGACGTCTACCTGCCCTGCCCTGACCGGACCTTAGGAGCGGTTCGAGCTCGACTCGCACGGCTGCGGCGAGGGAGACAAGGACTCGCTCCACACCACGCCCCTCTCGCCTTCCGTCCTCGGGCGCCTCCGCGCGGCGGACGCAGAGGCGCGCGCTGCGGCCTCTGCAGCGCTGGCGCCGCTCGCGAGAGCACGAGACCAATCAATGGCTGGCTCTCCTCAGGCGTGCTGCGGCCTCTGCAACGCAGACGAGGCGTGCGCCGGGTGGACATTTTTGTGGAAGTGGCCCGCGTCGGCCCTCAATTGCGTGCTGCTCGAGGCGTTCGAGGGAGTCACGCACTACGAGGGACGCGTCACGAGGGCAAAGCTGCCGCGCACAGGAGGCGGCGCGGGTGCCGCCGGAGCGGCGGGGGCCGCGCAGCAGACGCGAACCTACATCGTGCCGCCACCCCTCTTTGGTGCGACGGGGCCGTCATAGAGTTCTGTGTCCTCCCGTTTCAAAACCTCACTCTTTCGACACTCGCTCGGAGGCAAATTGTCTGCGCATCCACCCACAACGCACTTAGAGCCGTAGAGGCCGTCCCAGCCCGCGTGCTGTCCGCAGACTGCGCGACTCCGACATGCACCAACCCCGCACAAAGCGCACAGGCGCACAGCACACAACCGAAGTGCGACCCTTCATGCACGTCCGTTGATCCCAGGGGCATACGGCGAATCCCAGCTCGCCTCGCACCCCGCCATCACACCCCACAGCACCGACATGTTGGCCAACTCCAGAACACGTTTATCTGCGATCTTGCTCTCGACCGTTCCGAAGAGCGATCATCGCGGCTGCGCCGCCGCCGACGCCTCGAGCTTTCTCCGCCTGTGCTTGCCAAAGACCTCGACGCACGCGAGCCCAATGTAGCCGAGGCCGGCGAGGGTGAGCGCGATGAGCCCGCCCGCCGCGACGCGGTGGACAAAGTTTCCCAGCCGCTCGCCCGCCGTCAGCGGAGGGCGCGTGGGGTCGTGGAAGTCGCAGAGGCGGCGAGACGTGGGCCGCATATATGGGCGCGCGAGAGAGAGAGACCCGGGAGGCTTTCTTCGGAAAGTTCGGCGCCGGACTTTCTTTTTCTGCTGCCAGAATTTTATTGGGCCGGCCCAGCACAGCGCAGCCGGCCGGCCAGCCGGACTCGTCCCCGCCAGCCAACTCATGGAACTGCTCGACCTGTCGCCGGACCTGCTCGCCCTCCTGCTCGCGCACTGCACGCACTCCGACTGGGCGCACTGCGCTTGCTCGTGCGCCGCCCTGCGTTCCGCAGTCGGCGACCAGCGGGAGCGCTGCCTCTCCGCCACCGAGCTATCCTTGGGTAAGCTGCCGCTCCTCCTCTGCCCCTCGCTCCGGCAACTGAGCAGCCTGCGCGAGCTGCGGCTGCGCCGGGTGCCGATCGGCGACGCGCACCTCTCCGCGGTGGCGGGGCTGCCGCAGCTGTCGCTGCTCGACCTCACGGGCGCGGCGCGAGTCACGAACAACGGCGTCAGACTCGTTGTGGCCGGCTGCCCCGCGATCGAGGAGCACCTCGCCGTTTGCGAGCGGCGACCACGATCTGTCCCCGACGTGTCCCGGCCTGTCTAGGAGCTGCACCTGACCTTTTGCGAGTGCGTGGGCTACGTCGTCGTCCTCGAGGCGATGCGGCGCTGCCCGAGGCTGCGGCTGCTCCGGAGGCAGCCAGAGTGGATGGACGGCACCTTCCTCACGCCGTGGGGAGAGGAGCACAGCCTACTACGCGGGCGGCGCGTCTCATGAGTGACTGGTGATCTCGTCGATGATGCATCACAGGAGCACACCTACTATGCGGACGGCGCCTTCCAGTTCTCCCGCGCGTCCGAGTCGCGAGGGTGGGTGTGCCAGTGCAGGCCCGCTTCCCTCGGCGCGCTCACCTCATTCATTGATGATGAACTCATCGACGGTGGATGACAGTGCAGGCCGCTTCCCTCGGCCGGTAGCAGCGACGTGGTGGAGGATCGCCTGCTCTACACCGACATTGACGGCGCCTGGACCCGCCACACGGGGGGGGGGGGGGGGAGGGGAGGAGGCGGGCGGGCGTCTGTGAAGCCTTCTCGGACCGGCTCCTGCAGGCACCTGGTCACACAACGGGCGGGTGGGCGTGCTGATGAGGCCTCACTCCGAAGGCCGCCGAGAGATCGCCGAGAGATCGCCGAGATACAGCCGAGATACAGCGTGCTGACGCGGCCTCTCTCCAAAGGCCGCGTGCCGGTTGCGCCGCGCGCCGTATTCGCGAATGCATCGGTGTAGCAATCACCCTCGAGGCCCTCTCGCAGGCACCGTGCTGGTGCTGCAGAGCCTCTCGACTCCGGAGCCGCCCCTCGACTTTCCCGAGTTGGCGGCCGAGCTCCTTCCTGCGGTCGGGCAGACGAGGCGAGATGCAGCCGAGATGAGCCAAGATGGAGGCGAGATGAGCGAGCCTTGCACTTTTCATGCCCAGCTCCTTTCTTTAGACGTGGAGTCGGGAGTCGCAGCCCAGCTGGTCGCAGCCTGGCCCCTGCCCTGCCTTGTGTGTGTGGCGAGGAGGCTGCCCGACCTTTCACCCTCGCCTCACCGCAGGCGGCTCGCGGGCGGGGCGATGCTCTCCTGCATGGCGAGGCGCTCGCCGCTGCAGGGCGAGAGGATGCCTCCGCCCGAGCTGACTGCGCACCTGCAAACCTTTTGTGACCAGCACGCGGCGCGTGAGGCCCCGAGAGCACGCCGAGAGGACGTCGAGATCGCTCGAGATCGAGATCGCCCGAGATTAGGCGCGGCGGCGCGAGCACGAGCTGCGCGCGCTGGGCTCCGTCCGGGACACCTGCCGGGGCAGGCAGCGCCTTGCGACGACGCTCTCTGCCCTCATCTCGCGCTTGCGCGTCGGGGGCGGGGCGGCGGGCGGGGGCGGGCTGGGGGCGGTTGGCGGGCTGGGGGCGATCGGCGTGGGCGGACTGGCCTTTGGGGAGAGCGAGGGGGACGACAGCGAGGAGGAGGCGTACGGGCTGTTTGCCCTTCCGTGAGCGCTGCAGAAGTGCGCCCGGGCTGTGCAGCTCGCAGGGCTGTGTGCAGCTCCACGAGAGGCGCGAGAGGCACCAGACGAAAAGTGGCGACAAAGCCGCTTGCTTGGCGGGTATGCAGGGGAGAGCGATTGAGGGGGAGTTCGCGGGAATGCGGAATGGCGCGTGTGACCGTGATCCGTTGTCAAAGTTTTGTGATTCTAAAGGTGAGCACACAGCAGCCACACAGCACACAGCAGTGTAGCAGATAGCCCTGGGCCATGGAGCATGACCCCGGAGAGCTGCTGCGCGTGCAGACTGACAGCGTTGCGCGAGCATTTTGGAGTATGGAGAGGCCAGCTTGACCAGCTTGGAGCCGTTCCCGGCGAGCCAGCGCCCCACGGCCGCGCGATCAGGAGGTCGATGGCAGCGTTAGCGCGCATCATCGCCACGTACTCCATGGCACAGTGCGTCACGTAGATGAAGTCCTCAAGCGTGTTCGAGTGCGACTTGGAGTGAAGACGCGCGGGTGCGCAGCCAGGCGTTCACGAACAACACGTTGACGTACATGGGCACGGAAGCGTCATAGTCGAGGTCCTGTCGCCCGCCCTCGGCGCGCTCGAACAGCATCATGAAAGCCTTCGGGTGGGCGTCGCCATGGCCTCGGCGAACTCCTTCCCCTTCCCCTTGTGGTAGCGGCCGCCGTGGTGCAGCTCCTTGTACTAGTAGTCGGCGCGAAGCACGGCGTCAAAGTCCGTAGTCATGCGCTCGTACGCGGCGAAGGTTTCGAGCTCCTCCTTTAGCGCCTCCTTCACGTGAGCCGACTGCGCCGTCGACTGCGCCTTGAGGACGATGTTCCGGATATGGTGCCAGCAGTGGGTCGCGTGCGCGGTGATGGCGGTCGCCTGCTCCGCCTCGGAGAGCGCCGCCCACGCCGCCGGGTCATACTTGGCCTTGACCTGCCGCGCAACCTCGGCGAGGAGGAGCCCGGTCGTCTTCCGCGCGCCCGAGCACGTGTCCGAGATAAAAGCGCCGCCGCCGCCGAGCCGCTGCAGCCCGCACAGCTCCGGGTCCGGACCGGTCCAGGCGTGGTCGGGGTGCAGCCTCCTGCACGTGTCGCGCCAGCCCGTCAGGTGCTGCCGCAAGCGAGCAAAGCACTTGCTCTCGATCCCCGACGCGCAAAGCTCGGCCGTGCCGCCGCCCGTGCAGTAGGCCGCGCGCAGGATGATCACCTGCAGCGCCGCGCCCGGCTTCGGCTCGACGAGGACGCTCGTCACCATAGACGGGTCCTGGAATTTCGTGGTCTCGTCGAAGCCGAGTTGCCGCACGCGATGCGCCGCAGCCACACGCCGCGCCGCCATCGCCTCTTCGACGAGGCGCACAGCTCGAAGCGCATTTCGCGAATGCTGCTGACGGTCGGCTCGACCGGCGCGAGCCAGGGCGCCGCACGTTTTACTACAGCGACGATCGCCTTGCCGCAGGCGGAGGCGTGCCCAGCGCGAGCAGCACATAGACCGTCACGCGGTGCGTCCAGTGCAACATCGCCCGGCCGCGTCCCGCGCCGGCGCCGCGCCGCGCGTCCCACGTCGGCATCTCGCGCATGCGCTTGTGTGACTCGCGCTCCGCCTCCCTCTCCGCCCCTGTGCCACGGTTCTCCTCGACCAGGTCGTCGACCTGCGCCCGCAGCGCGGCCTCCTCGTGCTCTGCGTCGACCGCGCGCGAGCGCAGCTTCGAAATTTTCTTGGTCTCCTCGTCGAGCTTGGCCTCCGCGGAGCGCGCGCGCGCGTTCGCCCGGTTGCGCCAGTTCTTGAGCTGCGTGAGCCGCCCGGCGAGCACGCCCTCCGCGGCTTTAATCGCATGGGCGCGCACGGCAGCAGCGCGCTCCGCCTCTGCAGAGCTGCGCGGCCCTGCGGCCGGACCCCGTGGGCTCGTGGGCTCCGCGTGGCCTGAGAGACCGGGCCCGATGGCCTGACACGCGCGTGAGCCGCCGATTCCACGGGAGACGCCTCCGAAGAGCTCCGAGGCACTGATCGCGCCCACTCTCGACCCCGTACGTACGCAGGCCCTGAATGTCTGATTTCTGCTGAGCTTCAAGGCGTGGGACTCGCAACGATGGCCTCGCGCAACCCTCGCCACATCTGACTTCGCCACTGCATACCTCGCGTAGGCGCTCTGGACGCTGCTCCACCGGAGAAGCGGCATGGAAGATGGCCTGGGCGATTGCCAACGGCTGAAAATGGCTCCGACGGGTGTGCCCCAATCTTTCAACTGCGCCCGCCCCGCCCCGCCGCGGCCGCGGGCGACGCCGCCGCCCGCCCCCCGTCCGCATCAAAGCGCTCAAAGGCCGCTACCAGAAGCGCAGCGTGCTGCTCGCCGTGCCCGCCGCCGAGCTGCTCGAGCTCTCCCGCGTGCGGCTCGAGCTGCTGCTCATGGAGGCGTTCGGTATACTTTATACTCACCCCCGCGCCCCCCCAAGAGTCAAAGTCAAAAACATTGCTCTCACTTTTGTGTCTTCTGTCTAGTGTCTTGAGTGTGAGGCTCTCTACTTGGGCGGTTGTGCATGTAGCAATTGGTCTTTGACTTTGTCTCTTGAGACACTTTTGAGAGAGAGCCGCCGAGCTCCCGAGTGAGTCCCGTGACTGAGGCGTGAGCCGTGGATCTCTGACTCCAGAGTGCGGGGAGCGAGAGAAGCAAAATATATGCACTTGGCACGCCACGCGACGCAATGCGCATCAACCGAATGCTACCGCCGCCGGCGCAGGCCCCCCCGCCTCCCGCTGCGGCTGGCCAGCACTGGTATCGCCGCTGCTCTCCGCCTCGCCCTCCCCCGCCATCCCCTCCCCCGCCATCCCCTCGCCCGTCCCCTCCCCGTCGTGTGGCATGAGCTCCTCGCGCCGGTCGTGCTGGTAAAAGGCGTGCGCGTCGGTGAGCATGCCGACGATGGTATCCCCGACCCTGCGAGGGGGGAGGGGCGCCTGAGGGCGAGATTTGCGGAGCGGAGGAGAAACGCATCGGGTGCGGCCTGCAGTTGATGAGGTCCTGCAGGGTGATGTAGCGCGGGTCTGCCGGCTTCACCATGTCGAAGATCTCGTCCTGAAGGTCAAAGGCAGGTGAGGGTGAGGGTGGGGGTGGGGGTGGGGGTGGGGGTGGGGGTGAGGGGGGGTGAGGGTCATGGTCAGGGTCATGGGTGATGGTCGTGGTCCGGGTCGACGCCTGCACGTCCGCCACCAGGCAGTTCGGCTCCTCACCCAGCTCGTCAAACTTCTCGAGGACCGCGCGGAAGAAGTAGGCGAGGTCCAGCCCGAGCAGCCGGCCTAGTACACAGTCTCACGCCATGCAGCGCGGAAGGAGTGCAGGCGGCGTCCAGCCCGAGCGGCCGGCCTGCACGGCGCAGGTCGAGCAGCTTGAAGAAGTAGGTGAGCGCCTCGGGCGTGCCCTTGTACGAGTGCGCGAGCACAAAGTCGAGGTACGACTTGTAGTCGAGCTCGCTCTGCGCGACGCCTGTTCACGGCCGGCGCTGTGAAGAGGCGCCGCCCACGGCTTGCGGTCGAGCTTGCTCTGGTGTCGCCGTCGTCGCTCTTGGTGCGGTACGTGTGGCACTCCTGCAGGTCGAGATCAGGTCGAGATCAGGTCGAGATCAGGTCGAGATCAGGTCGAGATCAGGTCGAGATCACCCACGAGGACTCCGAGGTGACTCCGAGGTGACTCCGAGTGACTCCGAGGTGCAAGTGCGGTGTGTGGTGCGTGGTGGCAATCCTGGAAGACCCGCTGCACGAACGGCGCTGTCAGCCCTCCTCCTGGCGGCGCGCCGCCGCGGAAGCGCATGAGCTCGCCGACAGAGAGCATGCCGTTCTGGTCCGCGTCGAGCTCGAGGTAGTCCGAGTAGAGCATCTCTGCGTACCTACGAAACACACGGCATCGGCATCACCTCGACACGTCCTCTGGCCGATGCAGCCCTGCAGTGCAGCGTCTCGCACTCAAGCGAGAACCAGTTCTGGCGCAGCTCCTCCTGGCCCAAGTCGCCTGCACAGCCACCAGACTCGTGAGAAGCACCCTCGGCCACCCTCGGCCACCCTCGGCCACCCTCCCCCTCGGCCGACCCATCTCGGCCCATCTCGGCAAGCCTCGCCTCTGCGCAGCTCGAGCAGTTCGTGCATGATCGGCGAGGACAGCATCTTTTGCAGCGAGATGCGGCCTCGCCTAGTCTCGGGCAATCTCGGGTGATCTCGCAGAGGAGAGCATTGGGGGTGGTGGCGACATGCGGCCGCGCCGGCGCGGGTCGAGGAAGAAGAAGAACTTTCGCACGGCAGTCACCTTGCACACAGGTGAGGAGAGCTCCTCGCGCAGCTCGGCTGTCTCTCGGTTGTCTCTCGGTTGTCTCTCGGTTGTCTCTCGGCTGTCTCTCGGCTGTCTCTCGGCTGTCTCTCGGCTGTCTCTCGTCGCCTTGTAGAAGGGGAAGAACTCCTCGCGTAGCTCGCGCAGCGCCGGCAGCTGCGGCAGCAGGTCCGACACCCACTGCTCCAGCTCTCGCTCGCCTGTCAACAAGGAGCTGCATCAGCCGCAACAAGAAATCTGCGCACTCGCCGCGGCTCCCGCTCCCGCTCGCCAAGCGTGCCATCGGTGGAGTGGTCGTAGATCGAGAACTCGATCCGCGTGCGCAGGATCGCGGTCTTGCTGCGCAGCCAGCAAAAGTAGTGTACGATCGACACCCGCCCCCACGGGTCATTCGGGAAGCGCAAAAAGTGCTCGGCGCCGAAAAAGTGCCGGCCGAGCCGCGCGGGCATGGCGTCCGCAACGCGGCAGAAGCCGGTGTAGTCGATGCGCTCGTCGAGCGGCGACGCGGGCGGCGACGCGTGCGCGCGCAGCAGCCGCCAGCACTCGTCCAGCTCCGCCGGCTCAAGCATGAGCGACAGCATGTGCTCGCGCAGCCGCCGGCGAGCGAGCTTGCCGACGCCCTCCTCGAGCGCGCGCCGCTGGTCGTCGGCAGAGCTGGCGGCACTCGCGCGCGCGCCACCGCCGCCGCCGCCCCGGTGGGCGCTCGTGCGCGGGGCGTGAGAGCGCTTGAGGTGGAAGCGCGGGATCTGCGCAAAGGTCGGGTCTCGACGCAGCTCGGCGGCCTCGCGCTCGCGCCAGATCCTCTCCGTCTCGGCCTGGACCTCGGCCTCAGCGGCCTCACGCGACTGCGCGGGCCGGCGCGTCGCGTAGCGCCGCAGCCGGTCGACGTCCGCCGCACAGAGGACCATCGGCTTGACTTTCAAACCTGCGCGAGCCCGACAGAGAGCTCTAACGCTACCCTGGTACTACCTAGGTACGGTAGAGCTCAAGCCTAAAGTCTGCCCGGGTTACTCAGGACACGATCCCGAGAGTGAGTAGAGCTCTAACCCACACGCACATGTATCTTGAGCACTTGAGCACTGGATAGGGTCGGTTCCGCAGGGTACGGGACCCCTCGATCGTCTCGCCCTCCCTCACTGGTGTGTTCATTGGGGGGGTCATAACAAACACGGTACAGGATCGAGGTGCACGCTGCCGAAGCAGTGTCGTCCCCCCTCTCCCCGACGGCGATGGCGGTGTGACCGATCGAGCTACAAGAGGAGCTTGTTCAGCAGGATCCGGGGAGGTCTGGCGCACTACCTCACTGGGCCTGAGACCGCCGGGACAGTACCCGTCACCGCCTCGGATTTGTGTGGAGTCGAACCACTCCGGGATGAGCAAGCTCATCGTTCTGAGTTGTGCTGGTTAATTTGTCAGAATTCCTGTCGTGCAAGAGGGGAGGGGGCTCTGACGGAGTGTGTGGCGGGATGTCTTCCCTCCTTTATTCTATTCCCGTTTACGACCCGACCGAGCGCCGCGGCCACTCCTGAAGTGTACGTGGTTCACTCGGAAAGAAAGGTGCGGTCCTCTCTGGAGGGGTGGGCGTTGGGCGTTGGTGCGATGGTGCCGGCTACGGCGGGCTGCTCGTTTTATTTATTACGGGGTGTGGACCCTGAGTTGACCAGGGGTTGTGCGCTGGGCCCTCCTGCTCGGCTCCAGCCGGTAGACAAGTCTTGTCATCAACAGAGTAGATGGATCTGACCTCGGGGCCGATGTGACCCAGCGCTGGTAGCGTGGTTTTACCTCCCCCCCATGGTCTCACAGTGCGTGCCGGCAGTCGCCGAGCAGTGTCGCTCACACAAGCCGCAGCACAAGTGACTGAGGGCCAGTGAGGGCGAGCCCATCGCTGTCACAGCTGTGGCAGCCGCACACAATAGGCTGTGTCAGCTGTGCAGAGTGTGTGAGCAGCACGGAGGAGCTGCTCTCCAGGCTTCTGTCGCAAAGAGCTGCATGCCACCGAAAGCGCTGTCGAGGTTCGCCGAGCGCGGCGCAGGTTGGAGGAAGCCGTCACCGACGAGCGCGTTGGACTTTTCACTCCGGACAAAGACGGGGACACAGCGGACGGTGCGGGGTGTGTCCCCGTCATAGCGGCGAGGCGCGGGACCGTCTGTGGCGACGTGGGTCGCGTCCTCCGATTTCCTCAACTCAGGGTCCCCTCCCTCCCCTCGATTAACTTTTTAGGGGAGATTAGGGGGAATACACACATAGAGAGAGAGACCCGACACGCCTCGCCTCCCCCTCTTTCACTATTCTCTTTCTGTTTCTCCCAGCTACCCCGCCCTCAGCTACCCCGCCCTTTCGAAAGCCACACGCGCCAACCCTCACGGCAGTTTGCCGCCGTCCACGCCGTGCTCGATCCCGTTCTCCTTGAGCAGCGCCGCCACCTCGCCCGCCTGCGGCGCCTGCTCGCCACGCGAGCACACGTCGATGTGCTTGATCGCGAACTGGGGGCCCGCCTACGGCGAGGCGCGGGGCGGGCCTGCCAGCGCGGCGGGGCGGCGGCGGCGCGGGGCGGTGGCGCGCCCACCGCAGTGCCGCACAGGAGGATCCCCTCCTCGGTGGGTGCGGCACGGAGGCCGAGCCGGTGGCTGAGAGGCACGCCGACGACGTCGTTCCAGCAGATCGCCTCCACCGCCTCCTCGAGCGCATCCTCGTTGCCGAACCCCTGCGAACGGCAGGAGAGCGGTGGCGGCGGGTGCGCACAGACTCGCGTCGCGGGGCTGTGACTACGCAGTCGAGCGGCGGCGGCGACTGTGGTGCCTTCGCGCACCTCTTGGTCGCCGAGGGTGATGACGTCGACACCTACGTCCGCCAGCTCGGCCGCAACGAGCTGCAGGACATTTGGGTCCGTCGAGCCGTGCTCCTCGCAGCCAAAGGCGTTGCTGATCAGCGCCCGAACCGGCATGTCTCTGGCCTTGGCCGCCTGCGCGATCACCACTGCCTCCGCCCGGCCCTCTACCTCGGTGCCCCGAGCAGCTAGCGTGAGCAGAACGCCGCCACTAGCAGGAAGGTCGTCCGCGCTGTCAACGCTAGCAAGCTCGGTGGCGGGCGCCGTGAGGTCGTACAGGCGCACCCACTCGTCCAGAGTGATGTGCCGACCAGACTGCGAATCGTAGAAGCTCGACGTCGACATCCAGCGCGACTCCCTCCCAGCCACGCTGCCACTGCGCGCGTGCGATCGCCGCAGCAATGCAGCCAGGGGGCGAGATTGCATCGCTCGGCCTCGCCCAGCCGCGCTTTGCCGACCGAATAGAGAATTCGAGCTTCAGCTCACACAAATCACAGTGGCCATCTAGAAGGGAACGACGCGACAGAGGAGGAAATGACAAGGGAGAGAACGACGAGAGTGGGACGACCGCGAGGTGGCATGAAGGTTGCAGCGAGAATCGGAGAGAGACTGCGAAGAGAGATAGGAAGAGGCAGACTCCCTAGGGTGTCGCCAGACGACGCAGGGCAGAAGACGGTGAGGCGGAGCAGACGCGCAGGGCGAGACGAGGGAGGGAGCAGGACTTTGCGGAGATCAGCAGGAGGATGTACGAAGAGATTAGGAGCAGCAGGGACCCGAGGGACCATGTGGAAGACGGCTAGTAGGCTAGTCCCCCAACGGGAGGACGACCCCGGCTAGTCGCCGACCACACCCACAAAGAACCCTGGTCCCTGCACAAAGATCGCAAGGGCGGGGGCCTGTTCCTTTTTACCCATCTCACAGTAGAGAGGTGTCCGTTTTTATTTATTTATTTAGGTCAGCCGGGACGTAGGAACTTTTAGGTAAAATGACAATAAGGAAGCGCTGGACCGATGCGCCAGTCAGCAGTCTTGAGCACTTGAGCACTTGATAGGGTCGATTCCGCATGGTACGGGACCCCTCCGATCGTCTTGCTTGGGATCACAGGAAGACGCACACACCTCCATCCACACCGCCCCGAACACCGCAGACTTGGGCAAAATGACAAGTGCGGGGCGCGCCGCAGGCGAAGAGAAAATTTGAGCGGGGCTCCTGTTCACACTCGTGTGTGGGCCCTTTCTAAAAAGAAAGAAAGAAACCGGACAACCAAGGGAGGGATGGGAGGACGGCACGCCGCCACCACACAGGGATTTTAAGGAGAGGGGTGTGGTGCGCTAGCCGTCGCCCACCCTTGGGCCCTTTCTTGGGGCCGCGCCCGGACTCAGGGCCGGTGCTTTGACGCAGTATATTGTACTTCGAGGTAGTATGAACTCAGAACGGCCCCCCGAGAGCGCCTCTTCGACGCCCACGGGTCCCAGGGGGTCGGAGGGGTTGCGAGAGGGCCTGGACTATTTTTTGTTTGAATCCCGGAGGCCGTTCGAACATATAACGTGCGTTCCACGTGCCCGTCCCCAGCAAGGACAACATGCTAGCCCAGCAGGCCGCTCTCACCGCCGCCCGCGGCGTAGGCAAGGCGGCAAAGGGTGGCAAGGGCGGCGGCAAGGGCGGTGGCAAGGGTTGTGGCCGTGTGGCGCACCAGACCCACTTTGCGCCGCCGCCCTCAACGCCCGATACTCGGTTGAGCCGGCGGAGCGACGGCGGCAGAGTTGCGGCCGCCGGCGACCTCACACGGCGTCGAGCGCCGTAGAGACGGCCCCGAGAGCCGCCGCCAGGTGTGCCACGACCGCGGTCGCGAGGCTCGTGGCGATGGATGCGCCAGATCCGCTTGCGCCGCCGCCCTCAACGCCCGATACTCGGTCAGAGCCGGCGGAGCGACGGCGGCGGAGTTGCGGCCGCTGGCGACCTCACACGGCGTCGAGCGCCGTAGAGACGGCCCCGAGAGCCGCCGCCAGGTGTGCCACGACCGCGGTCGCGAGGCTCGTGGCGATGGATGCGCCAGATCCGCTTGCGCCGCCGCCCTCAACGCCCGATACTCGATCAGAGCCGGCGGAGCGACGGCGGCGGAGTTGCGGCCGCCGGCGACCTTCCCCTCGACCACGCCGCCGACCCGTCGACAAGCACGTGCGGACTGCCATCGAGAAGAAGGAGACGGAGGGCGGCGCATCCGGAGCCCGCGGGCGCAGCGGGCGCGGGTCCGGGCGCGGGCGGGCGCGCGCGGGAACCCCGCCAGCGGAGGCGACAATGCCTCTGGCGGCTCTGCAGGCGGCGCGCGGCGCGCCCCTCGCCGGTCTCCCGCACGCTCCTGAGGGCCGAGAGGGCCGAGAGGCGTGGTCGGTGACCCGGGGGCATGGGCGGTGCGGCCCGCGCCGCGCGCGGGCGCGTGACAGCCCGTGAGTGCCGAGATCGGGTCCGTACTTCGACGTAGTATGGGCCCCCGGGGGCCCATCTACAGCAGCGGCGAAGTGAGCGTGTTTGTGGTGTTGGTGTGGCGTCTGAGCTTGGATCTGTGACTAAAGCCGGTTACCACTGATGGATCCCCACCCGAATAACACACAGTGAGCGCCCCAGCGCTTCACTACGCCCTCCGCGCGAAATCTCGCTAGTGCTGTGAGAAAGTATATTGTACTTTTGAGTAGTACGCGTCTGAACCACAGCGTGTCCCGACTCGACTGCCGGCGTCCCAGTCCGGGGCTGTTTCTCTTCTTATCCGTTACCATGTAGAGCAACGCCGAGGGCGGGCCCTTTCGGGCTCGGGCCGCCCTCTCGCCCGCACCTCTGCGGGGCTCGCACGTGGTAGCGGCGGTCTGCTCACGACAGTGAGTGGGCTCTTCACGCTATCCACTGCGCCGCGGCTACGCCGCGCCTTATCCAAGCCCAGGGCTTGGTTCGCCGATAACCGCATCTCGCTCTGCGCATCTCTGAGGCTACCCGCGCGCCGACTGCTACGCGCGCGGCGAGAGGCGCACCCCATCAGGGACAGGATTGAGGCCCCTGTACGAGCTCGGCAACGCCGCCGTCGTTGCCCTCCCGAGCCCTCAACACCGTGCTGCACATAGCGCAACCCGTTCTGCGCACATACCGCAGGGAGGAGTTTTCACTCAACCATCCGAGTTTCTCCTTCCTGCAGGGCGAGAGACATCGGCCTCTCTACTTCCAGGAGAACATCTACGCCACACGCTATCCCGACGGTCCACAACCCACACTGCAGTCGATCCAGCCCTCGCACTCCCCACTGGAGATCTAGCGAGGCCCCCCAGGCTGGGACAGGATTGGAGCCCCTGTGCTGCGTCTGTGGTGATATGTGGGGGACACTTTCTCCTCCCTATTCATGTCAGTGACTCGACTGCGTCGAGGGGGGGGACGTCTGAACCACAGCGTGTCCCGACTCGACTGCCGGCGTCCCAGTCCGGGGGTGTTTCTCTTCTTATCCGTTACCATGTAGAGCAACGCCGAGGGCGGGCCCTTTCGGGCTCGGGCCGCCCTCTCGCCCGCACCTCTGCGGGGCTCGCACGGTACGGGTACGGTTCCGAGACCGCGCCTTCGGCGCGCGCGCCGTGGTTTCTTAGATTTTTGCGGAAATCGCTTGGTAGAGTTTCTTAATGGTAAGGTTTCTCAATGCCCGCAACAGACTGTACAACAAATCTCTGAAATGTACGTTCTCTCTCGAAATGTACGACTTTTAGCTTACTGGGAGAAAAGAGTCACAAAAAATTCTTTGCACCGCATACCCAGGCCCTGGCCGGCATGCCGCGCGACGAGTTCCACTCGTTACGCAGGCTCGCCCTTCTTTTTCTGCTGCCGCTGCGACTGCTACTCGGGATGCTGCTCCTCTCCCGCGCCTGTCTTCCGACGCTCGCGCACCCAGCCGCCGCTCGGAACGATCGGCACGCCGACCAACTTTTGGCTCCTCCGGCAGCGTGGCGTGGTCGCGGTGGATGAGGACCGTCTCGTGATAGAGTATCTGAGCAGCCTGCGGGCGGGCGACGCCTCCGCCGCCGCTGGTCGAGTTTGAGGCGCCGGACACCGAGCGCACCCGTGTGCGGCCCGGCGGCGTGCGGGCGGCTGGGAGGCGGGACAAGGAGATTTCTGCTCCCGAGTGCGAGAGGCCCCGGAGCGGGAAGCTGTGGAGCCGGCTTGAGGGTGAAGCGGGTGAAGGAAGCGGACGCCGCGTGCGGCGTCGGCGCACGGGTGTGGGACGCCGGCGTCGGCCTCAGCTCATGGCTGCAACGACACTCGGAAAGCTGTGCTCGAGCTCGGTAGCGGCGTCGGGGTGGGAGGCATCAGCGCCGCGCTTGCCGGCGCGCGGCCCCGCCTGCCGAGATCTCCCGAGACCGTCACGAGATCTCCCGATCACGCGAGATTAGGCGCGGCGCACGTCACTCTCTCCGACCTCTGCGGCGATGAGGAGCGCTCCTCAAGTCTGGGCCGTGCCTCGCCGCCAACGCGCGCCGGAACGGCGTGTCCGAGAGTGCGGCGCTGTGAGAGGAGTGCTAGTCAGTACTCGTACAGCTTCGCCTTCCTCAGGCCGCTGTCAGGCGTGCCCGCGAGGATGGCATCGCTAGACTGGGACGAATGCCTGTCGGCAGACTTTGAGCCCGCGCGGAGGTGCCACCGAGATGCCAGCCGAGATACAGCCGAGATACAGCCGCGATACCTGACGCGCGGAATGCCCCTACCCCTACCCCTTCCCCTACCCCTACCCCTACCCCTAGCCCTACCCCTGGCCCTGGCCCTAGCCCTGACCCCTGGCCCCGTGGCCCTCCCCTACCCTTGTCCTGATCGGCTCAGACCTCGCCTAGCCGGGGAGCTGCTCTGGGGAGCTGCTTGCCGGCCCTCTGGGCAACTGTAACTGTCGCAAAGCACGTCGCGCCCGGCGGCGTCGCGCTCCTCATGTGCGTGTGCGGCGGCCGGAGATGGACTTCGAGGTGGTGCCCGCGGCGCTCGAGAGAGCTACGGCGGGGTGGCATGGCCCTTGAGGAGTGCGGCGTGATCCAGGGTGATGTCTGAGATGCGAGGCGAGCCGCTACAGCCCCTACACGCAACACGGCTATGCTCGGGTGCACGCGGCCACGGCCCACGGGTGTGCGGGGTGGCGGAGGTGCGGGGGCGGAGGACGTGTTCAGAGGTCGCTATCCTTTCTTGTTTTCATTAGAGAGCTCTTCAGAGCTATTCATGAAGAGGCTGCTGATGCTAACTGGCCGGGTGGACTCTGTCCACAAGCGAGAGCACGCTCTGTGTGCATTGCAATCGGAATCGCCCTCACCAGCGCGAGCGCGCCCCACCGTCAGCCGCCCAACACCCTCCCCCGACGCACATGACTCTTTACGCGCACGCCCTCTAAACCTCGGTGCCTTCCCGCAGGCGGCGGATCGTCGATCGCACCTGCGCAGCCTGTGGCGGGGCGGCCGGGGCGGCCAGGGGTGAGGGTGAGTGGGCGAGCGGAGCAGGCAGGCGGGAGAGAGGGGGGAGGGGGGGGTCGGGGGGTTTCCGAGCAAGCGCAGAGAGGTTGCGGCGTCGCGCAGGAGGGAGGGGGGGGGGGGGGGGGAACGGGACGTGCACCTGTGCAGTGTTGAGCGTGTACGCGCCGCCCGCAACAGTCTTCTTGCAGGCCTTGCAGTGCCAGATGCCGGTCGCCACGCGCTTGATCGAGTCCTTGCCACAGAAGACGCACGTGTACGTCGCGTGCTGCGAGATCTCCATCTTTTTGACAGTCTTCCTCAGCGAGGCGCCATACCGCACACCGTACTTGCCGGTGATGCCAGCCTTCTTGGTCCTCTTGTTCACCATGGCTGGACTGCGCGCGGGGCGGGCGGGGGACGGGGCACAGGTCGGACGAGTGTCGACTCGGCGAGAGTGGCACCCCCAGCGCCCTCGCTCGCGGCATCCCGCGGGCTGACGCTCGCGACGGCAAGACACGCCGCGCGATCGAGAGGGAGCGAGCGGTGGAGGGTCGAGCGGAGACACGCGGCGAGGCGAGGGGGCCGCGCGCTGTTCGTCTGCGGCGCCCCCTTGGCCCCGGCGTGCGGCAAGAGGAGTGAGAGCTGTCTGTGGAGGCGGACCTGAGGCACGCGGCGCAGTGCTTTTTCTTTTTCCCTCGGATGAAGAAATCTCTGCGAGGTGTGTGTGTCTTGTCCCTCCCTTGGGTTGTCCGTTTTCTTTCTTTCTTTCTTTTTCGCTCACGCCGGGGAAGTGACCAGCGAACTGCAGGTAGTAGGGAAGGCAGCTTCGATTGCCATACAGACATGGGTGCGAAACAACGACAAGACCAAGCAAGGCAAGGGCAGAGGAGCGGGAGAAGAACATAGGATGGATAAAGCGCCTGTTCACGGCATGGAGGGTGAGCCACGCCGAACGTACTGAACGTAGAGCCGAGCGGAAGGAAGCCGGGGATGACGACTCCGAGGAGGACGAAACACCAACCAGTGGAAATCCCGCCGTCAGCTGTCACCATAATACGCGGCTCATAAGTTTCTCCGAGACCTCGCGAGCGGCAGTTATTCACACCTCGGCAGTGTGGTTTGGGCAGGGGTGGTCAGTGTGGGTTTCACACCCGTGGAAGGTAGGGGATCGGGCAGGGCAGTTGTGCGGCAGTATGCGGGCGGGCAGGTAGTACAGTACGGCAGGGCAGGGCAGGGCAGTTGGGGTGATGGGGTCATAATTGCAGGGATGGGGATTTGGGATCTCAGGTGGTGAAAAAAAGGGTTTAAAGAAACAAAAGTTTTCAAAAGGGGCGCTAGTTACGCGGCGAGGGAAAAGGGGGCGATAATTGCTGTGAACATGGAATTTAGATAACAATCTCAATGAGATGTGTAAAGAGGACGGCCGACCGACGAAACACACGCGCGAGCTGGCGAGCTCATCTGTCGACATCTGCATCTCAATCGAATCTCAGGGGGCGAGGGGGGCGCCGTGTGTATAACGGTCGCGTGATACTACAGTTACAACTCTGGGTTAAAGTAACCTAAGTTCATCATAGCAGTCTCCCAGGTAAGGAGATTGCGGTCGTTTGGGAATACGCCTTGGCCCGGAAATGCAGTTTTAAGCCGTTGCGGTTGGCTGCGTGTTCTCTGTCTGCCTGGTCCGCTCTGGCTCTCTCACGGAAAACCGGCGAAGGTTTAGCCGCGCCACGTTACGAAACCTTCGGCGGAGTATCAGCGCCCTGAGAATTCGTTGGATGGTACGCGCCACGCGTGTATCCAGAGCGTGGTGTCACGTCGCGTTCGGGGCAGGATCTCTCGGGCGTCGATCCGCGCATGGTATCCTTCCCGGGTGCACCGGAGCCCACCCAAGGGGGCCCGGGAAGGGTCACGCTGGCGCTTAGACGGCCCCTCGCGGCGCCACGGCGGTACCTTCCGGTCCGCAGGTGTTATATAGCATAAACACCGTCCGTGCAGGGCTCCTAGGCCATCACTGGGTCCACAGTGGACGGACACACAGCCTCAGCCGGCCCGGCGGGCTCCCGACCAGAGCCCGTCCGGAGGCCACAAACGGACACTCTACCGACCTTTACACCCCTAGACAATCCACTCCGACTAGCATACGGTGTCGGCCCGACCGCCCTGCGGCCCCAGCTACCAGCTGGCGCCGCTCGGCCCGGCTGGAGGCGACTGGGGCGCCCAAAATCGCGGAACCGGCGACGTCCTCCGGCCAGCAGCCGGATCGGGCGTCCGACCCGCCCCCTCGGCGACCCTAGATGGTATCCCCGACCCCCGAGGCTTGGCACACCGCGCGAGGGGGGCAGCCCAGCCACCCTGCACCGCCCAGGCCGCCCTCTGCGAGCCCAGGCGCGCCGTAGAGAGTGCCGACGCGATGTCGACGATTTTGGCCTGCGAGACGGGGGCGAGGAGCGGTGTGAGGGCGCCATGTGCCCGGGCGACGGGCTAAGGGGCCGCTACACGGGCCGCAGAGCTCACCAGCGCCGGCACGGTGGCGCTGGTAGCGATGGTGCTGCTTGTGGCCGCCTTTGGCAGTACCTGACCGAGGGCTGACTCGCGAGGGTCCCCACGAGCAGGATTTTGGCCCCTTGGTTTACTGGAACAGCGACATAGAGAAGCCACCGGCTCCGAACCGCCAGCTCCGAAGTCGACCTCGCGTCGCGTCGCAGATCCGACACGAGTCTCCCTGACAGCAGTCGGGCTTGAGGTCGAAGTCGATGGATCCCTTTCTCGAGTTCTCCGAAGGCAGCGGTGGCACGGCAGCGGCGACCTCAGCCTCGCCAACCGAGAGCGCGTGTGCCACCATCCGGGCGCTCGAGGAGCTTCAGCCCTTTGAGCCGCTGGCCAAGAAGGGACAGCCGCAGCCCCGCCTGATTCGGCAGGTCGACACGCTCATGGCGCGGCACGCTCTGCACCAGCAGTGCATCGGCGAGCTCTCCGCGGTGGCGGGTGCGGCCGGCGAGGAGGCGAAGGGCCTGCCGTCGCTGCTGCAGGAGCTGGGAGGGTGGCACGACCGGCTCGTGCAGGAGATGGCGGCGCTGGTCGGAGAGGCGGTGCGGGAGGGCGAGCAGTCGATCGACGAGGCGCGCGCGCGCGCACGCCGCGCCGAGGCGGAGGCGGCGGCGCTGTCCGACGCCTCCGGTGAGCTCGGGCGGAGAGTGCAAGCTGCAGAGGAGGAGCGGACCAAGGCGGTGCGCGCCTCCCAGCTGGCGGCGGACGCGCTCGTGCGCGAGCGGCGCCGGGCGCAGGTGGCGGCGGCGGAGGCGGCGGCCGCCACCGCGCTGCTGCCGCAACGGCACCCGCCCGCCGGTCTCGCGTCGTCTCTGTCGGCGGCGGCGTCGGCGTCTTCGGCGGAGGCTGGCGAGGCGGCACGGGCGGAGGGGGAGGCGGCGGGGGGGGGGCGGGCGCTGACGCTCAAGGCGGCGCGCGAGTTCATCGACGAGCTGTGAACAGCGTCTCTTCACACCTCCTGCTGTGAATAGGCGGCGCGTGAGTTCATCGACGAGCTCTACGCCTCCAAGGCGCGGCACGACGAGCGGTGTGCGCAGGACGCCAAGCTGCTGCGCGAGACGGTGGAGCAGCACCTGTACTCGTACCTCAACACGAAGTACGGCCTCAAGCAGCTCATCACACGCGACGTGGACGCCTGTCTGGACGCGGTGCGCCGCTTCTCTGCTGAGGACAACGACGTCGCCACCTTCGGCGCCATCCTGCGCAACGAGGAAGACGACGCCCCCCTTCCGCCTCCCTTCCGCCTCCGTGCGGCGTCCGTATCTCGGCTCGACCTCGGCTCTCTCTCTCTCGGCTCTCAGGTAGACGAGCCCTTCCGCCTCGTGCAGCGGCAGCTCAAAGAGACGGTGCGCGCGCTGCTGACGGCGCACCTCAAGGGGAGGCACCCGCACAAGTCGGACGCACAGGTGGGGAGCGCGGTGCTCGCAACGGCGCGGCAGTCCCTGCTCACGCCCTCGCCTGTCTCGCGGCCTCCGCAGGTTGCGAGCTCAGTCCTCGCAAAGACGCGCGGCGTGGTGCAGGAGGAGGAGTGGAGGGACGTTGTGCTGTACATGCACGCGCCAACGGACTCGGCACCGACACGTGGCAGGACATGTCCACGACACGTCCCCGGCCCCTCAGGTACGCGCCCGAGGACGCGGCCCTCCTCCTCTCGAGGCTAGCGCAGAAGGAGTCCGCACTTCGCTACGCGCCGAGCGCGGAAGCTCTTCTCTTGAGCGGTGCGTGTCTGTGTCAGGCGGCCTCCCTCGCCGCAGACTCACCGCCCCGCGGGGGAGGAGGAGGGGCAGCGGGGGGGGGAGCGCGACCCCGCCGCAGCGCGCCTCGCTCTCGGCGGGAGAGCGACGGCGGGGCGGCTGCGAGGCGAGCGAGCGGGCCGGGGCAGAACGCGGCACCGCTGCGGAGTGAACCTGCTCGGGACCTTGCAAACAGGCGGGCCGGCAGGCCCCTGCCGTACAAGGCGCTGCTGCAGGTGTCCCTCCCCTCTCAGCTCTCGTCTTCCTGGACACCCCTTCTCGGAGCCGTCTCGGAGCCGTCTCGGAACTTTCTCGGAAGCTTCTCGCAGGTGCTGCTCGACTTTCAGCTCGACGGCCACCGCCAGTTCCTGGAGCACTTTGTCGTCCTCTTCCGCTCCCTCGACACCGCCGGCAGAAGAGAGTGTCGGCGAGCCCTCTCTCCTGTCTCCTTCTCGGAGCCTTCCCGGAACCTTCCTGTAGGCCGCGGAGTGCTCGACGAGGATGCGTACCGCGAACCAGATGCGGGGACACGCCCCCACACTCCAACTAGCGTTCGCTGAGACACCCGTCGTCTCTCGGCTGTCTGCTTCACGCGATGCGACGAAGCCATGCGCGGGAGGCGATGCCGTGCGTCCAAACATGAATGTGTTCGACATAGGTTCCGCATGCTGGTCCGCGCGATCGCGCCGGCCAAGAGCGAGGGCGCGGTGGAGGAGCTTCTGCTCGCGACCGATCCGCACGACCACAAGCGGTTCACCTTCTCGGATTGCGTCGTGGCGCTCAGCCAGGACCTCGTCGCCCTGCTCGCAGCGCCCTCATTGTAGGCGCTCACACATGATGTGCATGCACAAACCGGGGAGTGTGCGCAGGCGGAGTACCGCACTGGCGCAGGGTACCATCCTCTTAAATTTTGACATGACTCATGTGTGTCCAACTCTACCATGAGTTGCCGCGGGGCGCGGCATTGGTGTCCATTGAGCGAGCGAATATATAAATTATATATAAATAAATAAAACGGACACCTCTACTAGCCACGTAGGAAGGAGAGATGGGGCATTTGGGGGGGGGGGGGGGGGCTCAGCCGTGCAAAAAGCATTAGTTAATAATAGTAAGGAAGAAATATTGCTCGGCCGTCCATGAAGTCCGTCTCGATCTGGAGGAGACGGGTCAACCCCGTGAGGACCAGATCAGGTTCGCATTGTCGTAGCCGGAGGGGATGTTGACCTTTAGCTCTTGGGGCCACCTTTCCGCTTTGGTTTTCCCCCCCCTGACCACTCGGGCAACTTTTACCAAATGCCAAAGTTAACCATTCGGGCAACTTCGATTGCATTTTACCACTCGGGCAACTCGATGAAACGGGCGGACGGAAAACGCGTTTGCGGCAGCTCGCCCGAGAGCTATGCATGAAGCGGCCGGCGCGCCACCGCAGCTCACCGATGGAGCTTGCGGAGCGGCTCAATCCACTGGCGCAGCAGCATCGCGACCCATTCTCCAAGCACGGCCTCTGGCGTTGCGATTGCACAGAGAGCGAGCAATAGTCGACAAATGCACTGATCTGTGTGCAGCGGAACTCCATGGCGGTCGCGCCCAGCGAAGGGACGACCGCAGGCCTCGGATGCTCGCCCGGGAGCGGACCCACCGTGCGAGTTGCAGCCCCGGAGATGGCCGACCCAGCTCACCCCCAGAACCCAGCCCTAGCTTGGGATGTCCGTTGTATTTATACACTGGGCACGGGACTGGCGCGCACTGGCACTAACACAGGTACACCACTGGAGCCGCAAAGAAGTTTACAACGAAACTCCCTCGGACGACACTAGGCACCATCCCTCCCTTGGGGTGTCTGTTTTCTTTCTTTCTTTACACTAGGCACGGGACTGAATTTCATATTGTAAAACGAGAGGCTAAACCGATTTCTCCGTCTACGACTGTAGAGGGCACTTGGAGCACTTGGAGTGCAGTCGGTAACCTCACTCACTCACACACATCAAACAACAAACGGCTCGGAGCTCGGGGCCGCTCAAATCTACTATGCCTCACATTGTCGCCCGCTTCCTGGCTCGGAGCTCAGACGAGCTCAAACTTGGCCTCCGCGACGAGTGGAGCTCGGACGAGCTCAAACTTGTTGCCCCGGGCCGCCCCGGCTTCTTGGCACTTGGAGTGCGGTCGGCAACCCAGGGCTTCTTCGCTCCAACAACTGCTGCATCGCGCGACCCATGCGACACAGCAGGCTGCTCCTGGGCCTCGAAGCTGCTGCGCTGTTGGGCTCGGCAGGCCCGAGTGAAGTGCCCGAGACGTTCGGAGATCACGCCTCGTGCTGATTGTCTACCGCCGCGTGGCTGTGCGAGATCTAGACGTGCACACCCCGCACGCCACTCGGCTGTGCTTGCGCAGCAGACGGCGTGGGCGGCTGCGCAGGCCCCTGGCCGCGGAGGAGGAGGCTGGCCCGTCTGGCGGTGTGCTGGCGGTTGGAAGTAAGAGGGAGAGGGAGAGGGAGAGGGAGAGGGAGAGAGAGAGAGAGAGGGAGAGAGGGAGAGGGAGAGGGAGAGGGAGAGGGAGAGGGAGAGGGAGAGGGAGAGGGAGAGGAGAGAGTGAGCGGAGAGATGGAGAGGAGAGTCAGAGGGAGAGTCAGAGGGAGACTTAGAGAGAGAGGGAGAGGGAGAGTTAGAGTGAGAGGGAGAGTAAGAGGGAGAGGGAGAGAGAGGGTGAGAGGAGAGAGAGTAAGAGGAAGAGGGAGAGGGAGAGGGAGAGGGAGAGGGAGAGTTAGAGTGAGAGGAGAGGGAGTAGCGGAGAGGGAGAGGGAGAGGGAGAGGGAGAGGGAGAGGGAGAGGAGAGAGTGGGAGGAGAAAGAGTAAGAGGGAAAGGAGAGAGTGATACGGAGAGTAGAGTAAGAGGGAGAGGGAGGGAGGGAGAGTAGAGAGAGTAAGAGTGAGAGTGAGAGGAGAGATAGTCAGAGGGAGAGGAGAGAGGGATAGCAGAGGGAGAGGGAGGGAGAGGGAGAGGGAGAGGGAGAGTAGAGAGAGTAAGAGGGAGAGGAGAGAGGGAGAGGAGAGGGAGAGTGATAGGGAGAGTAAGAGGGAGAGGAGAGAGGGAGAGGAGAGGGAGAGTGATAGGGAGAGTAAGAGGGAGAGGGAGAGTAAGAGGGAGAGAGGAGAGGGAGAGTGAGAGGAGAGAGGGTAAGAGGTAGAGGGAGAGAGGAGAGAGGAGAGGGAGAGGGAGAGGGAGTAAGAGGGAGAGGAGAGAGTTACTAGTAGAGGGAGAGGAGAGAGGGAGAGGAGAGAGGGAGAGGGAGAGTTATAGTGAGAGGGAGAGGGAGAGGGAGAGGGAGAGGAGAGAGAGAGCAGAGGGAGAGGGAGAGGAGAGGAAGAGGGAGAGGGAGAAGAGGGAGAGGGAGAGGGAGAGGGAGAGGGAGAGTAAGAGAGAGAGGGAGAGGGAGAGAAAGAGGGAGAGAAAGAGGGAGAGTGAGAATAGAGAGAGTGAGAGGGAGAGTAAGAGGGAGAGGGAGAGGGAGAGGGAGAGGGAGAGCTCGCCCTCCACGCGGCGCACCATTGGGGGCGCTGCGGACTATTAGGCCTCGTCGCACATCGCGCGCATTCTGGATTGTCTTATTTATCTGAGATTAAAATATCCATTTGAAAATGCTTGCCACATCTCAGGGATGGCGACGCCAATTCAGCCATCCTGAGATGCAGCGCCCTCCGGCCAGCATCTCAGGATGTAATGGCTCAATCAGGGATGTCGTGGACATCTTTGGTTGCCTCAGGCATCCCAAGATGCATGAAGCAATTCAGGATGCGCGAAGCAATTCAGGATGCGCGCGCATCCTGAATTGCTTCATGCATCTTGGGATGCTCGAGGCAATCTCAATTAAAATGGAGATCGTATCGGGCAATTTGAGATGCCGGAGCATTTCAAATTGCGGGTTCCCCGCCCCTGACGGTGTCAGGTCACAGCCGCACCGCACTCCGCGCACCGACAGTGCAGCCGCGAGCTGGATCGGAGCCGCGCCCCGCGCCCGCGCCCGCGCCTCCCTCTCAACGAAGAACAGATTTACACCCCTGAAGTAGTGGGCTGGATGGCCAACCCTGTACACTACAAAAAAACAGCTTCCCGCCGGCGCGCTCCTCGCTAGCCGCGGCCAAAGGTGTACTCGCGCGGCGAGATGGCTGTCCGTGGCCTCGGTGCTGGCGGCGGCCTCCCTCCCCCCACCCGCGTGCGGGGCCCGAGCGAAGCGTCGGCGGTGGTCGGCCGCGCCTCTGGCGCCCTGGTCCGCGCCGAGCCGGGCCGCCGGCCGCCGGCGCGTGCGCTTGACGGCCTGCTCGACGGCGCTCCCGCAGCCTGGCCAAGCGCCTGCGGGCCGGGCCGGTGCCAAGTGGTGGCGCTGGACTGGTCGTTGTAGTAGTAGACTGCTCCGCTGGACGGGTCCCGCGCCTCGTGCCAGTGCGGCGGCAGCGGCG